AATACATATTTAAAAATAATAAATTGAATTCACATTTTTGGGAGGAATGCCTTTCTTATTGTATTTTTATTTATTAAGTTTATTTTAATTGTGTTTCTTCTTTTTATTGGCTTTTTTTCATTCAAATGCCACCGTCTCATATCGACCGCTAAAATCGCATGTGACCCGTGACGTCACGGGTGCGTTAACCCCGTGGAAAAAGTGCATCGCAACTTGCGCACCTTGCGCCTTGAACCCTAGGATCGCCGGCAGTTATCAGATTTGTTCCGCCGCCAATTTTACTGTAGCCATTGGTTTTTATATCGAAAAGAAAAGTTTTATCGCTGCTTTTTTACATTTAGTTAATAATATATTATTTATAAATAGTTTTTATTTAAGCTGTTATTGTAAAGTTAATCGAAACAATCTCAATTTATTTATATACGCAATACATTTCTAGACGTTGCAGACGTCGTATTTGTGTTTTCGTATAATCGCTGTATGGTGAAGTGCGCGTTGGAGTATGGAATTTTCTGGATTTGTTTACACTAGCACATCGTTCGCAACGGGCTAGACTAGGCACCTATTCTCGTCTATTGTATACTAAAGTCAAATATTTAACTGCCATTACAAAATACTTGGTAGTTTTAACACTAGTGTACTTCAGAAAACAGTTGTTTACCGCCGTTCCTGCAACATGACTGGTACGTAGATTTTCTTTGTACATTACTGATACACCATCACTGCATAAAAATAAAAAAATGGCACCGTCTGTCAGAACGCAATAAACTCAAAAACGGATTTTCGCACGGCTTTCACCAATGGACTATATGAAGAAAATTGTTAAAGATGTCGCAAAAATTATGCTAAAACTCCGATAGCAAGCGAAAAAAATATATCACTCGTTTGAAACCGGGGCGGGTGATTAGGCAAATATAAGACATAATATGGAAACGAATTGTGTGTAATTCGTATGATGAATGCGGCGCCTCATTCGAGTATCGTGATATTGTAATAAGTTATAAACATACAAAATATGTTCTTTGCACGTTTTTATTATTTTCAACTTATGCAAATTTGTAAGTATGCATGAATGCAATGGAATCTTTCAGATGTTCGATTATTTTTCTACACATTCTAAGATGACACTATAAAAATATCAACGCAACTGTGATAGGACGACGCAACAGTGTTCACTGTTGCACGAATGGGCAGGTCCGTCCGGGTACGTACCACGACCTCACAGAAGACCGGCGTAAAGTGGAACTGTTACACCTACAGCGTTTCGTCTGGTGATTGAGGTAGAAGGGGCCCACTTTATTTATAGATGGCAACCCGTTTGCAACCTTACGGGTGTTGAAAATGTCCATGGGCGCCAGTTATCATTTAACATCAGGTGAACCGCCAGCTCGTTTGCCACTTTCTCACATACAAAAAAAATCATCACCACGACCTGATATATTTAGTTTTTAAACCAATTTAGGCTCCCGGTCTCTTTACTTAATTCAAACTCAATCATAAACTCCCCAACTTACTTATCTTGGTGTCTCGGCAACATAAAGAGGATCGTGGCCTCCATCAAATTTTCTGACGTCGATAATTTCGCGGCATTGAACCGCACAACGAGGGGCATTGTATTACTGTGACTTACTAGTGCAGAGCCAGCACTGCTGAACGTATAATGGCCGATATATTAGTAATGTGCAATCGTGTTCCTTTGGTTTTTGGCACTGTTTTTGGTTTCTGTTCCTTACTGAGACTCAGATATCTTCTCCGGCTGATACCTCTTTCCTCTCCTACCCCGGGTACAAATTGGAACATTCCTTTGTACCGCGGGCGGGGGTGTGCGTGTACGTCAGAGAGGATATCTGTTCTCGTCGCCTCGGCAGTCTTGGAGGACGGGACCTATCCATCCTCTGGCTACGCGTAGACTGCGACGACCATCCGCGTATCTATCAGCGTATGATCTGACACAACTGGTCACCTCGCCAACGCGAATCCCAGATGTGGAGGATCATACACCTTCCCTGTTGGACCTTCTGCTGACCTCGCATCCGGACGGCTACCTGGTTTCCGTCGATCCTCCTCTTGGTTCGTCGGACCACTGTCTTGTCAGGAGTACAGTGCCCGTTGCGCGCTCTACACGGCCTCGCTTCGCAGGCTGCCGCCGCGTATGGCACTATAGATCAGCAGATTGGGACGGGATGCGGTCATTCTTTGCGTCCTACCCATGGGGGCAGATTTGCTTCTCGTTGGATGATCCAGACGCCGTTGCTGACTCTGTCACCGATGTGGTGCTTCAGGGTATGGAAATGTTTATTCCATTTTCTGCAATACCCATCGGTGGCAAATCCCAGCCTTGGTTTGGTCGTTCCTGCAAGACGGCATTACGCCGAAAGTGGGAATGCTACCGAGCCTGGGCTGAAGCTTCGGCGTCTAGTGATGTAGTGATGTAAAGACCAGCGCATTAAAAAAGGAGTATAACTCTGCTTCTAGGTCCTTCAAAAGCGTTATTGCTAAAGCGAAGTTGGAGCACATTAGCAGAATTGGCGAGAGATTGGCGCGTCTCCCATCGGGAACACGTGCGTTTTGGTCTCTCGCCAAAGCTGTCTTAGGGAATTTCTGTAAGCCATCTTTTCCACCCCTGCACACGGAGGATGATTCGTTGGCCCATGCCGCGAAGGAGAAAGCCGATCTTCTGGGCTCTCTCTTTGCATCCAACTTGACTTTGGATGACCGAGGAAACTCACCACCATCAATCCCCCAGTGCGACGTTACGATGCCGGAGGTAAAATTCCGGCAAAGTGCAGTTCGCAAAGCACTTCTTTCCTTGGACATTCACAAGTCGAGTGGGCCTGATGGCATCCCTCCGATCGTGTTACAGACATGTGCTCCAGAGTTGGCGCCGGTTTTAACGCGTCTCTTCCGGCACTCCTATACTTTAGGCGTAGTCCCGAAATCATGGAAGGCCGCGTTAGTGCACCCGATCCCTAAAAAAGGCAACCGCTCTGATCCGTCCAATTACAGGCCAATAGCCATCACCTCCTTGTTCTCCAAGATAATGGAGTCTGTTATCAACGGCCAGCTCCTGCGGTACCTAGAGGAGCACCGGCTGATTAGCGACCGCCAGTATGGATTTCGTCGGGGTCGCTCAGCCGGTGATCTTCTGGTCTACCTTACACATCGATGGGCAGAAGCAGTTGAGAGCAAGGGGGAGGCGCTTGCAGCCAGTCTGGACATAGCGAAGGCCTTTGATCGGGTATGGCACAAAGCGCTTCTTTCGAAGCTGCCTTCCTATGGGCTTCCCGAGAAATTATGCAATTGGATCACCAACTTTTTGGCAGATCGGAGCATCAAGGTCGTCGTCGACGGTGCATGCTCCGATCCTAAATTTGTCAATGCTGGTGTTCCACAAGGCTGCGTACTGTCTCCTACTCTGTTTCTTCTGCATATCAATGACATGTTGCAAATCAGCAACGTCCATTGTTATGCAGACGATAGCACTGTGGATGTCTCGTACACTGGCCGAGCTAACATTTCTCGGGAAAACGTCTACGAGTGTCGGAACAAGCTTGTGTCTGAGGTCGAGACTTTGTTAACCAAAGTCTCAGAATGGGGTCGACTAAACCTAGTCCAATTCAACCCCAAAAAGACACAAGTTTGCGCGTTAACCGCTAAAAAGTCCCCATTTGTCGTGACTCCTCATTTCGAGAACACTTCGCTATCTGCCACAGCTAGTATCGGAATGCTTGGCGTCGAAATCTCGAGCAACGTCCAGTTCCGCGGTCAATTGGAAGGTAAGGCCAAATTGGCCTCAAAGAAGCTTGGCGTGCTCAGCAAGGCGAGACGGTACTTCACGGCTGCCCAATGCCTAAACCTGTATAAGGCGCAAATTCGGCCCCACATGGAGTACTGTTCTCACCTCTGGGCGGGAGCCCCCTATTACCAGCTTCTTCCATTTGACCGCATTCAACGTAGGGCGGCTAGGGTTATCGACGATCAAAGTCTTTCCGATCGGCTTGATCCTCTGGCTCTGCGTAGAGATGTTGGATCACTCTGCATCTTCTACCGCATTTATCACGGGGAGTGTTCTGAGGAATTGTTTGGATTGATCCCGGCGGCTGAATTCCACCATCGGACATCGCGCCAGAACCAAAAATTTCATCCACACCACCTCGATGTCCAACGTTCCACAACAGCGCGATTTTTAAGGCATTTCTTGCCTCGCACAACCACTCTGTGGAACCAACTGCCGCCGGCGGTCTTTCCGAACCGTTACGACCTGGGAACCTTCAAAAAGAGAGCGTACTCTTTCTTAAAAGGCCGGCAACGCATTTGTGAGCCCTCGGGTGTTGCAGGTGTTCATGGGCGGCGGTAATCACTTACCATCAGGTGAGCCTCCTGCTCGTTTGCCCCTTTTCTCCATAAAAAAAAAAAAAAAACCTACTCATGAATTATTAATACTTGTATAAGTTCCGTCTTATTAAATACTGTATTTCATTAATTTCTGACAATTCATAACAATATATTCATAACAAAGGTTGCCTGGAAGAAATTACTCTTAGTAATAAGGCCGCCAATTGTACCCATCACTTCTACATTTAGTTTTAATTTTTGTTTGTTTTATTTTTGGTGTGCAATAAAGTATATTCATTCATTCATTCATTCATATATTCTCAGAAATTTCACTAATTCTCGGACGTATAGACGTTTTAGGAATTTACATCGGTCCCTGTAGAGCCACGCGTCAGCTTCTCATGCTCAATTTATAACCGTTGAACAGTAGAATTATTTACATTTGCATATATATCGTCTGGTGATTGTGGTAATAGAAAGCTCACGCTCTTGCAAATTTGGAGGCAAAACAGGCTACAAATGTTGTGGTGTAGGTAACTGATGTTCGTGGCTTGAGGCGATCGCTAGGAGAACCCCTACTGTTTCACCATCAGTTTAGAACGCATATAAAAACAATACGTATTTTTTTATAGTAGTAGTCAAAGTCTTTCAACATAGATGCGTAAATGTTTGCGATGTCTTATGGCAATGGCTCGTCGGAAACGGTCGAGCCGCCGGTGGGTGCCCACTGCCACTCCGATTATGGTGCTCGGTGGGCGGCGGGTATGCGGGAAATCTCAACCGCGCCTAATTTACGGCATTCCACGCGTCGCGGCGACGACCGGCGACTTTTCCGAGCATTCGAACGCCCTTAAAATGCCATATCTGCGGACAGATTGAGTGTTTATCGATTAGATAATATCCTGTCTACTTATAAAACGAATCGTTACTTAGTATTATAAACGCTAATTTTGTATGTATGGATGTGTGGATGTTTGTTACTCTTTCACCCAAAAGCTACTGAATAAGATTTTAATGAAACTTTAATAATATGGCTTATACATCAGAATAACAGATAAGCTATAATTTATAAAGATACAATGATCTCTCAAAGTGACTCTGTCTGTTTGTTAAGGCTTCATGACTAAACCGCAGAACCAATTATGATGAATTTTGGTATAAAGATAGACAGAAAATAAAATAAGCTACTCGAAGTATTTATCTTGCGCAAACAAGTCTCGAGCCCCAGCAAGTAGAAATTAAAGGTTTGTTATTTTTTTCTTAGTAACCGACTTAGCTCGTAGGCATTAGTGAGCTGAACTGGCAATGGGCCGGCCATATAGTTCGAAGAACCGATAACCGATCGGGAAGAAAGTGTCTCGAGTGCCGCACATATCGGCAATCATAGGATGACCCTTCTCTAAATGGAGTAAAAAACTGTGCAAATGTGCGGGACGTCAATAGATGAAGGTGGGTCAGGATCGTGATTCGTGACAGTCTGTGGCCTATGTTCAGCAGTCAACTTAAACAGGCTGAAATGATGATGGTGATAACCGATATCACCATCATAAACCGTTATTAATCGGTCTAATGATAAATAACAACTGATGTTATAATTGGGAAAGTTTGGTTTGCCCGCTCTTAACTCCGTCGTCTTTGAAATGCGACATGACGCCGGATGGAGTGTTTATCGATTAGATAATATCCTGTCTACTTTAGAAGGATTTTTCACGTCGCGTGTCATTAATCGTACCAATACGCAATAACACCTGATGTTTATTACTGTTCGTCCGCTCTTTACTCCGAGTTTCATTTTTGATGGTTTGTTATTTGCGCTTTCAGTCCATAACTATATAAAGCTTCATGAATCACAGAGCTTGTGACGAAGCTAAGTTTCAATAAGCTTGGAAGTCTCTACCTAAGTAGAGTCACAAATGTTAACTTGCGCGCATAAATAAAATGTATGGAATGTCGATTACGGTCAATTGTGTGTATTGTCGGCCCCAAAATTAACGAGATAGAACGGAGTAATATTATGCGCTAGGTAACGACTACGAAAACATCCAGCTTGTCTCGTTGTAACCTTCAATTTCATTTAGAAAAACCCTTTTAACTGAGTCACCAGACGAAGTGCAGAAGTATAACACATCCACTTCACGCCGGTCTTCTGTGAGATTTTCTTGACGAGTATGACCATTTGTGCAACGGTGAAGACTGCTGCGTGGCCCTACCACAGTAAAATAATTGTTCTAATTTGTGAATGATCGATGCATACTAATGTCTTTAACTCTTCAATTTATACGTCTTCACTGCCCACGTATCAGTTAAATCGCGACATGTCGGTGGCCTTTAATCATTGGTGTATCTATGACACTAAAGATGTCTAATACGTAGATCTCTCTCAATTACAATTTGATTTATTTACTGATAATAAAAACTCTATGACTTTCATCCGTCCTTACCTTCAGGTCCTTTTTTCCGTGTATAGTAAGACTTGGTTCTTACTTAAGAAACCCCACTCGGTGGCCACCCTTTGTATGTCTGGAGGGGCATAACGGGAGCATGATCCCGAGAATGATATACCTTTAAATCTTAAGACAACACGAGATCTCTTCTTGTTCTCCAAACTATACCTTCTTTGATTCGATAAATTCTTTGTCTTTATATGTAAAATTTATAAAGGTGGAAAGATCAGTATATATCATTGTAAAAGATGATGCGATGATGAGTTGGTCAAAATTGAGAACAGTCTAAAACTCCTTAGTGTTTTTTTAATGTTTAACTACGCGTCAAATGAAACAATCGCAGCGGACCGTCTATAAAGAGTCTTGATGTTTAGCACCCTACTGTTTATTTTCAACGCTCATCAGCTTCGACAACGCGACCTCCAGCTCAAAGGGACATTGTAAGGTCGCTTCTGGTGTCCATAAGACGCCGACGTCACGCTTCAATTGACGCGGGTGCGGCGTCTACCTCCACCGCGAACGTCCAACCCACACGAGCCGGAGTCACATCTCGACACTCGAGCTTAGTCGCATCCGACACGGTATTTAGCGCACGCGTGCTCCCAGCCCGCGGCGGCCCTTCCCGTTCATGACCATATCGCCGCCGGCTCGAGGACTCGAACGCGACCGTCTACGGGCTGGGTTTTTGCGCGCTGCCCAGGAAGCGAGGCCGTGCCGGATTCCCGAGCGCTCAGATCCGCACGGCGGCCTTCCACGTCCATCATTAGGCGCGCCCCCATCGGCCGCTGCGCCGACAAGCCGGTCCGTCAGTCGTCGCGACGGCACCCGACAAAGCTGTCGCCGGCGCACGCGTCGCTACATACGATGCAATTACTCCCATTCGGTACTTTACGCGCGTTTAATACTGTCATCCGCTGACGCGTCAGAAATTAATTCAGTGGGCAAAACAACAATTAGTGAGCGTCCGGACAAAAGCTGCAACGACATTGATATTTCGGTTACAAAGAATGGCGTGTTTATCTTTCCACTAAACTCGAGTGTCGGTCTCTTTTCTCGTCGACGTATGAAAGTTTGCCTCTTTCAATTGCCACTTAGAGTACTATAAACGTTTGTATGGTGAATGTATTTTGTAGATAAATTCTTATATTGTTCCAATTGTATTTGAAACGAATACATTGTCTGTTGGAAGTTGTTTATTGAAAAGCATAACGACAAATGAAACAAATTTGGAATGGGCTGAAACGTCGATTCCTTGTGGAAGTCTTAAAATCTTCCTAGGGTCAAGTGTGTTGTACAAGATTAAACAAGATTGAGATTATAAGTTGTATTTGTCAATCAAACTGTACGTAAATGGCGTCTTTGTTTCTATTTGCCGCAGTGTGTGTTAGTTTTTATAGGCTTTTACTACTTACTTTCAGTTATTAGTAAGTTAATGAATGCATCATTGATGTGTAATTACTCTTGTGGTACATAACATTTAAATGGCCATAAAATCTGGGAGCCGATCGATGTAGTAAGATTTCTTACGAATTACGTTTACTCAATACAAACTAAAACATATGAGAAAATTGATACACATTGACTGTTAGTGTGAATTTGTTCTGGAGTTAATATATTATAAACCAAGATTGTAACAATACATAATACAACGTTAATTTAATAATGTGTACTGTTTTTGGTATATTTGTGTCATTAAATATTACACTGGTAAAAAACATTTATTTTACTGCTAAAGACGAAGATATAGACAGTAACGATTTGAAAATTAAAAACGCGATTCATAATAATTTAGTTAGCAGAAGCAAATTTATCAATAGACGTGACGAATTTCGGTAGGTTCATATATGTAGATATAATAGATACACCGTTTCAAAAAATAAACTATTTACTCACGAGACTTGAATAGAGAAACACCTAAACAAAGATTTAAAGCGACGCGTGGTACGCTTATTTGCTTAATCGACAGTATCTTCACAAGAAATGTCGAAATCCGCAACTCGTCACACACGAGAAAAATAAAAATGAATATGATAATTTCTGAACATCGCAGTTTGTTTTTGGTCGGTTTTCGCGACTTTTTTTATGTGAAAAGTTGCCAAGCGAGCAGGCGGTTCACCCGATATTAAGTGAATACCGCCTCCCAGGGACATCTGCTACACTCGAGGGTTACAGATGCGTTGACAACTTTTTGAAAATTGGGCTCCACACTCACCAGATGAAACGCGAAAGTATTTTAAGTATAACGCCGGTCTTCTGTGAGGTCGTGGTACTTACCCGGACGAGCCTGCCCATTCGTGCAACAGCCGCGGCTGCTGCGTGGCCGTACCACAGTTAAAAAGTACCTTTTTCATAACTACTATTATTTCACGACATTATGTGTGAACCGTGACATTATGACACGCGTGTCCAGTCAATTTGACAAGGCATGCATCACTCATGTACGACAAAACCCGCTTGTTTATTTTTTTTTTATGGAGAAAAAGGGCAAGCGAGCAGGAGGCTCACCTGATGGTGAGTGATTACCGCCGCCCATGAACACCTGCAACACCCGAGGGCTCACAAATGCGTTGCCGGCCTTTTAAGAAAGAGTATCCTCTCATCTTGAAGGTTCTTTGTGAATAATCTAAGCGTTTCGCTAGTGTCGAGTTTGTATCTTAACTCGTACATCAGAACTCGTCACGGTTGTCGAAAGAAGTACCTTCGCGGCGCATAAGATGTCTAGTACCATCATTAGTAATCGTAAATGATAATTAATAAATCCTTACTAATATTATAAAAGCGAAAGTTTGTATGTTTGGATGGATGTTTGTTACTCTTACACGCAAAAACTACTCAAAATATTTTAATGAAACAAGTAGGCTTTAATTTATAAACATATTCTATGTTTGTCTGTCTATCTGTGTGAATGTTACGCCTTCAGCCTATTCTATGCAGACGTCGTCGCGGGCAGCAGCTAGTAAATAAATATTTTAGGACACATTTTTACACAACGTTCTAGTACCAAACTAAACAAAGCTTGTACTTGTATTAGTACTATGGATACTAGATAACTGATAAACATAATTTTCTTTTGTAAATAAATACATATTATACGCATATAAACACCCAGACACTAGAAAAACACTATGTTCGTCACACAATATTTTTCCACCAGTGGGGATCGAACCTACACCCTCTGGCGAAGAAGGCAGGTACATCACCCACTAGGCCATTCGGGTCGTCATCATGACATTTGAATGCTCTAGAGTTTATACTCAATATCTGAATTCCAATTTCAAAAATAGGAATCTTATGTACCTACTAGTGTAGCTATATAATTTGTCTCTGGTTTCAAATCCAGCAATCAAGGTCGATTTCGAAGTGACTTGTCACGTGATATTGTCATTACCCGACTCGCTCCAGTGGGTAACGGCGCAAAAAGTCTTTGTCGTTACAAAGCGATCGATCATAATGAAGGCGGATGCTTCAGAGGCTAAATGAGAGCAGTGAAACTACGTTTCAAAGGGGTTCTTCTTCTTTTTGAATGCCGTAAAGATAATTGTAGATGAATAGACTCACTGTCCGTCTGACTCTTTTTCTTCGTTAGTTAATGTTTTTGAAGTGTTCAGTAAAGCTTCGTCAGCCACAGAGCCCGCACAGGATACAGTTTGTTTGGAATGGTTAAAGGACAAGGTGTTTCGTGCTTTGCAGTGGGCCTTTGCCTTTTTTGGATAGTGTAGCTTCACCGGGTAGAGCTTTCGTAAAGACTTTTGTGTCCACAGGCTGTGACTGCCACAAGTTGAGTCCCGCATGTTTTTTATGGCTCCAATCGTTTGAATGTTCCGGAAAATTTTCTGAACCCTCCCCCCATTCACATAAAGTATTGTAAACTTGCATATATATTTACGCGTACGTAATAAATATATTTAAGCGTACTCCACTTTCCGTCTGTGTTCCACTTGGTTTAAAAACGATAATTAATCTAATCAATCGTAACGGCCGTAAAATCGCCGTTAAATCGACCAATTACGGTCAAACTATATATACGGACCATCGTAACTGACTCATCGCTAGATTGTGAAGTGTTCTTATTAGGTTGTGTACGTTTTAGCGCGTCTAATATCTCCAGCGTAAAACGTGCGCTGTTGAATAGTTCTAAAAGTATAATAGACCATAGGTAATAAATAGCGCGGCCTTTGTCGTTCGCCCACGCACAACCTCCTACGGATTCGCCAGTGAATGCCGTCGATTTTTACCTTGATTAGGTGTCGTTAAGTTTTTTCTGCACTTAAATAGCGACCGGCGCTCGAAGGGGAAACAATTAATCCAACAACAAACTTAAAATTGACAATAACTTTGAGCGCTAACTAACACGATAGTCGTTTGTTTCTTCACATTGTTATGTCATAATTAAATATGTTTGCCGCATGCCCCAATTTATAAAAATAAAAACAACCATCAATATGATGGATGTTAGACTGCGGAAAAGCACGTCAGGTGCATCTAGTCAAATTTACAACAAACATAGCCTTACGCACTTGTATGCGTACGTTTAATGGTGGCAGGGCCACGCAGCAGCCTCGGCTGTTGCACGAATGGGCAGGCTCGTCCGGGTAAGTACCACGACCTCACAGAAGACCGGCGTAATACTTACAAATACTTTCTCGTTTCGTCTGGTGAGTGAGCTCGCCGGAGCCCAATTTTCAAAAGGTTGTCAACGCATCTGTAAACCTCGGGTGTAGCAGATGTCCATGTCCGGTGTTATTCACTTAACATCAGGTGAACCACCTGCTATTTTGGCAACTTTTCATATAAAAAAAATTGTATTTAGTATTCTTTTAGTGGGAAATAGGTTAATGGCGCGTCAACAGCCGCTTGAGCACCACCGTTAGTACGTCAGTCGACAGTCACCATGACAAATAGATTTCCCTCGCTTATGTAACGCCGAACATTTTACACAGTCACGACTTAATGCGGACTAATCATTCTTGTATTGTGTATAATCTTATTTGATAATGATGATCTTTACTTTGGAAAGATGTATAACTAATATGTAACTATAGAGCTATTTTTATCATCCATTGTTGTTACTTTGATTATTTTTAACATTAAGGATCTGAGCGTTAATAGAATTATTAAATAGTACCCGACTGGAGACCGTATTAAAAAGTGATCTGCCTGTAGTTGCAAAAACCTTGTCCTTGAAATTAAATGAAAATGAATTATAAGTTCGGATTTTTCGTTCGGAAGACTTTCATTTGTATTAAAGTGGGTATCTAGTTACGGGCTCTGTATGAGTGATTTGACTAAACCACTGCTTACAGCGAACTCCGAAGTTTTTGATATAAACTAAATTGCTGATATTATAGAATACAAGAACTCACTTGATTGATGTAAATACGTGGGAAATGAATGTAAATATTTTTATTTCGAAAGAAATGCCTGAAGACTTTTGAAACGTATTGAAGACAGTCCAAAAAACAAGTTCTTTGTTATTAAAACAGTGTCCGGTACACTTAAAAAATATTCGCTTTGTATCTGCCCCGTCAATTGCTACACCATCAACCGTGGACGTATCTTTGAAGAGTCGAATGAATTAGTCAACGGAGTGAGCCAGTTATGAAATATCGACGGAAGTGACCGACCACCTGACGGAATTAGCGCATGGCATAAGCCCGAACTGCCGCACGCTCCCTTCTACCGAAATAATCAGTCTACTCCCAGCCGTGGTCCCACCACGACTGTCCGATTTCCCCTATCGCCGCCGCTTTTATACCAAACGCTCAGACATGGCGTCGGTGCGCACGCGCTCCGCATCCCCCAAAACGGTTTCCTTCTCCCCCGTCCTTGAGAGGAAGTACACGGTCGAGTGTAGACCCATCAGCCCGCCGGAGCTGGGCGGCGACTGGCGGCGTTACTTCAGCGATTTCGGATCTTATCTGGGTGAGTATAGGGGCTGGAATTGCGTGCGCCGATCCGGTAGCGCCCTGACCTTGCGTTATTTCCATTCGGTGTCAGTGGCGCAATTCCCGCGACCGAAACGCACGGATCTTCGGTCTATTCGCGTCTGTTTATATCCAACACGCCAAAGTTTTGCGCAATGTATGTCAAGTAGTGCCCCTTTGGTTGTGGTATTTCGATAGAGCTGGTTAACTCCTGTATACCGGTAGCTGATGGACCATCGGATAGTTTAGTCGACGGTGTCTTTAATGAAACAAACAATCTCATGCCAGCACGTATGCCAATGTCAATTAAATTGTTAATTTTAAGTGCTTTCCTATCACGTGCTCAGCGGTGAAGGAAAATCGTGTGGAAACCTGCGTGTTTTCCGTTCTGTTCTGTTTTTTTTTTTTTTTTTTTTTTTTTTTTTTTTTTATGCGAAAAGTTGTCAAACGAGCAGACGGTTCACCTGATGTTAAGTGAATACCGCCGCCCATGGACATCTGCCACACCCGAGGGTTACAGATGCGTTGACAACCTTTTGAAAATTAGGCTCCCGGCTACCTCACTCACCAGACGAAACGCGAAAGTATTTGTCATACTTCCACTTTACGCCGGTCTCCTGTGAGGTCGTGGTACTTACCCGGACGGGCCTGCCCATTCGTGCAACAGCCGAGGCTGCTGTGTGGCCCTACCACCGTATATCCACCGTATATGTTTTGTTATTATATCTGTTCTGATATAATAACAAAAAAAGACGTGTAAAGCTCCTAAGCGGCAGTGGGGTCGCGTGGTAATCTATGCCCTAAAATCCCCTGTACGGCGGAAGCCTTTGCTCAGCAATGGGACAAGTATATGCTTTTAATTAAATTTTCCAAGAAATTTCTAGGAATTAAATGTTGTATCGTGGGAGTTTTCACAAATGATATATTGGGCAAAAAGTACACTCATGTGAAGAAACAATTACTTATTGAGGACATCAATTTTCGTTCAGTGTTTTACTTTTAACACTCAACGTCATCGGCGCCATCAACGAAATTGCATAATGTGATAAATTTGAGGCGTATGTGATATGCGTGTGATATATCTACAGAATTATAAAGTATACACGCCTATTTAACCCTGGGCTTACTAAATATGAGCGTTTCCAACCAACGCTCTAGAGTTGGCTACCGTAGTATGCAGTATGGCATTCTACTTCAGTACTTTGTTGCGTATCCTAAATTCGACATTGGTCCGCGCGAACGCGTTTAAAACAAAATACATTTTTATACTTAATGAAAATGTAAATCTCACTTAGCTTTATTCTATAATTTTTTATGTTTCTCAATAAAAAGTATATCCAGATTGAGTATTTTTTGTCCCCCTGACATGTTCCTGTGACATAAAAAAGATACGGATTCTTTAAGAATAAGCCTCTCAGATTGACTGTTATTCAAATATTTTTCTGGTTCAGAAAATTATAAATTTAAGCTATACTGAGAAATTAAATACAAATCATCCGTTGGTCACCACTAAATTAGATTTAAAAATAATTCCTTACCGTTTTCAATAGCAATTTAATCTCATTAGAGCATAATATAATTCACAAACATGAAAAAATAAATAAATAAAGCCAATTATGACTGATAATAAGGTAGGCTTTTCATTATTTGGACCATAGTGATTACCTTAAAGTAGTTGTACACTTAGTTATAATTACTGTACTGTTAATATAAATTGTATGGGTGTAACAACTGCTGGTAAACCTCAATAAATAAATGACATATTTGTAAAGGTTGATTATGCTTTAATAGCCGTGAATTTGTAAAAATTTTAAAATTTAAAAAAGTGCTATGCTATGTAACAAGCACACAAAACGATGTAGCATAATAAAAGCGGTACTGTATGTATAGGTACAGCAGCTTTTTGCTATAACACCGCTTAATAAAGTCCCCACTGTGTAATAAAAGTGTCTTTGTTTTCATTAAAAAATGATTTTAAAAGCAATAAAAGCTCAGCATCAGTTTTAGATAGCGTTTAATTATAGCCTTTCCCTGTAACTTTTATCCATACAATTGTCATACTTTTGATTAATTGCTGCAAAAAAAATATCAGGCGCTGTTAAATTTACGCCTGGTTTCTGAAATACTGATCATCGTAGATATCAACTAATCAGCTGTCAAATGTATTTTCAAATGTTATTTGAGTTACCAAAACGATCGTTAAACTCTTTGAAATGATCATTCTGATCATTAAGAAGATCATTCTGGTCAATTCAGAGAGTTTAAATATCCTTTTGGCAACTAAAATGATATTTGAAAAGCCATTTGACAGCTGATTACTTGACATCTACGATGATCAGTGTTTCAGAAACCGGGCGGTGTTATATTTAGTTTTCTTTGACACTTTGCTCTATTTTATTTGGAGGCGCAAGATATTTTTATAATTTTCATTTTAAAAAAGTTTACCGTCATCTACTAACCTACTACGTCTTTTTTTTTGCTTTTTGGTATCAATAATTTTCCCAATATTATGATAAAGGTGAAAATTTTTGTACTCAACATATTGTGTTACTCGACCGACATACATAAATTTACTCCATCAACATATTATTTATATACAAAAGACAGAAATATAGAACAAAAGAAACACGTGTAAAAGAGTAAGCAATATAAATTCCGCGGGGAACGCGTCATCTCACACCGCGCCGTCTTCATTATCAGTATCAGAGAGGCGTCTGCGAGTACATTGATGAGTCGTATCTAACAGCGCCTTTAGTGATGTGCTTTGTTTGTTATTCTAAATTTTGTCTATATTTATAAGCATTTTTTTCGCCAACTGTTAATTCACTACTGGATAAACTATCCTGGATAACCTGATGGTTATTAAGAAATGTTCTTTTTTAGTACATAATATTTTATTATTAATTCTTTACTTTTTAATAATTTATCAAACATAAATATTATATTGTCGTATATATCTCGTATGAGTCTATGTAGTTAAGTTCAACTGTTTTTTAAAGAGTAAAGAAATAAGTTCATCGGTTGCAAAATAAAAGATAATATTTACAGCTACATGCTGCTTTATGTACCAATGTTATTATTTATGATAACGACACAACTGGTCATAAATTTCGTAAATGTATACGATATAAATATTTACGTGAACAATAGGTTAGGCCGAGTCATTTTTGCGGTCGGCTCTCGGCTCGATGAGGTGAATCAGTATAACATTAGTCCATAACAGAGTCGCCCGCGTCTCTTTACCGTCTAAGGGCAAAGGAGATATTTAAATTTAGCATCCTTCTCCCTTTCGCCGTTCCATTTTTTATTCCTTTTTAGTTTCAAAAGTGCCTTCGTGCGAATCCAATCGGTTTCGGCCAGTGCGCAGCGAGATTATTTCGTGGTTAGCGTGTGTTCGAATTTTAAATCGACAATGTCAAAAGCGCATTATACAGTGAATGACGATGTGTACGGGAAGATTTTGAAAACTAACACTAATTCGAGAACAGAGGCGGATTATGCAGAAGTGTTCGAAGCTGTTGAAGGATTAGGTATTCTCTATTTAAATTTTATTATTCAATTTATTATCATGGTTACCTTTATATGTTGAAATGAGTATTATTGTTCATAGTTTAGCCAGTAAAACAAACGGCGTCCAGTATATAATAATTATAAAGGAATAAGTATTAAAGAATTATGTAGAATGTACTGAATGACCGAATGGGCGGTTCATGTCCACTGTGAACAAGCTTGATTTTAGATTAATTGAAAAAATGTCTATTTATTTTATTTTTCTATATTAAATATTTGCTGCCATAAGAATTGTATTTTTATTGGTCTGAGCTGAATGTGTTAATTATAACAGGCGTGTAAACAATGTTTGTTCCGTAGATTAGCATGGTAGGAGGTCACAGGTACTAAACAAACAGGTCTTATCTTCTTTATCGCCCTGTTTTATCTGAATGTTCTGAATTTGGGCGAAAGAAAAAATTTAATTGGTGTGATCATTATAATAAATCTTAGTTAACTACAAATATGATCAACTACCAATATATTATAATTATATTACATTTAAGATCATTCTGTACATTACATGGTGTAGTGTTGTAAAAACAGGTAATATAAATCAATCTCTTTTTTTTACATTTTAATATATGCAAGTTGTGTTTACCTCTAAGCAATTATTACACCGGAGTCACTAACTATATTTTATGTATAATTTTTTTAAATGTTCTTGTATTTGTGTAATGTTGTAATGTTGTAAATGTTGAACCTAAATTTTAGGTTCAATAACGATTGGCCTAGGTTAAAGAGAAAAAAAAATACCAACACACGTAAAACTTTTTTTTTTTTCATTTCATTGATTAATTGTTAATATTTACCCTGATTACGCACGTCTAATCCCTTTGGGGAAGTAATGAATAAATAACGCCCGGTTTAGTTTTTTTTAGTTGCCAAAAGGATGGTTAAACTCTCTGAATTGACAAGAATGATCTTCTTAATGATCGGAATGATTAATTCAAAAAGTTTACCCATCCTTTTGGCCACTCAATTGGCATTTAAAAAGCTATTTAACAGCTGATTAGTTGACATCTACGATGATTAGCGTTTCAGAAACCGGGCGAAAAACTTACGCCGCACCGACGAAAATCTTAACGTCTTTTATCTACATTTTACATTGGTTTTTAAGCATTTGAAGCAATTCTAAAAAACTATGTAGATTTTCGTCGGTATGTCGGTGTTCGTACGGTGTGCAATTAGCCGTTTAGCTTAGTGGCTAGAGCGTCAGGCCGCGAATGCCGCAGACCGGGGTTCGATTCCCGCAGCGGCGACGATTCCTTACGTTTTCTACATAAAATATATGTTTAATCCAAAGTGCAGAGATTAGCACTATAAAAAAATTTAGTTGGCAAAATTATCTTTGAAATACATCGCCTTTTTAAAGAGTAGTCTCGGGTCACCGTCTGTATACGAAATCGCCGCCGCCTCCACCTGGGGGCGTAAGCGGACCAATGAACCCCGTTCAAATGGAAACTAGTTCCCGCGGTGCACGTCGCTGGCCGCGCCAAACTTCGGCAATGTAAACAAGACAAACCCGTATCGGTTGACGGTTTAACGAAGTGAAACCTCGCCTCGTGTACACAACGCACTGGCAGTTTTGCATAATTAAAAAGTATATATTTGCCCCGACGCGAGGCGGTTTTCGCGCCCAAAAGCGTTATTTTCAACAGACTTCAAAAAATGAGGAGATGCTAAATACGACTGCTTTTTTATGTTTGTTACATCAGAAATTTCGTGAACCGTTTTTTTTATTTGAAAGCTGGTCCTTCCAATGTGGTCCCTTATTAATTTCATTGCTATTGGATCTTGGGCTCCGGAGATACTTAGGGAAGTCCTGAAAATCTAGAAAATAAGAATACAGAGCGAGATATGTTAAGTCGGTTTTGTTTTTCGTTAATAAAAATATGGACTTGTTTTGACGGCGAATATTATCTGTGAAGAGTTATTCGTTCCTTATTAACCCATAATAAGTATGATTCGAATTTGAGCTATATAGGGTGGCTTTTCTAAGTGTATCCATTTTTTCTTTATTAAATTGTAGACATAAATAATGTTATATAAAAATGATAAATATTTAAAATCACTCTGTAAGTAATTAATTACATTCATTTGAACTCATCACAAAAAGTGCGTCATTTATAGGCAACTCATTTATTTTACGCGCAATCATTCATAACTAACACGCACACAAGTTCGTGCACAGTAAAATTTAGGTATTTGTGAATGACTACCGAATTGTCAACACGTTCTGTTTTTTAAGGAATAGAATGGCAGTTTTTTGAAGAAATGTAAAAAAGAAATGGAAAAAAGAAAAGATGTAGAAATTACTAAAAAGTTTTGGTCCCCTTTTTTTAAATCTGAATTTGCAAAATGTTATTATGAATCGTTTGCAAGTACTATTATGAAATAAAGCCATCAATTTGCCATTACTGAAATGAATCCGATTTATTTTTGTAATTTTTTTAATCTGTTCAATATCGAGAACTCCACGGTTTTACGAAGTGAAACCTCGCCTCGTGTACACAGCGCACTGACAGTTTTGCATAATTAAAAAGTATAAATATTTGCCCCGACGCAAAGTGGTTTTCGCGCCCAAAAATGTTTATTTATAATAATTTTTTTTTCGACTGCGAATAATTATTATTCTGTGAAAATATATTAGTATAATATAAATATAATAGTTCCTCATTAACTGTAGTAGGGCCACGAAACAATGTTCGCTGTTGCACGAATGGGCATGTCCATCCGATTTAGTACCAAGAAACCCACACAGAAAAACGGCGTCAAGTAGAAATGTTATAAATTTGCGTTTCGTCTGGTGAGTGAGGTAACTTTGTTAAAAGTTGGCAACGCATCTGCAACCCTATGGGTGTTGCAAATGTCCATGGGCGGCGGTTATCACTTAACGTCAAGTGACTCGCCAGCTCGTTTGCCACTTTTTAACAAAAAATTCTCATTGTTATTTTTTTTCCATTGTATAAATTATATTGTTTTCATCGATTTACTACTCGCTTGAAGGGATTTTTATCAGTCGCAAAAACGAAACTGTACACCGTTCCACGTTTGCCATTCCGAGAACGCGTCGCAACTCTTGAATTCTTATAATGATAATAAATTAGTCCATGAAGCGACCGTCCGTATAATACGAGAGAAGATTAAAAAAAAAAAAAAACAAAGGATAATATATCTTATTCATATCTGAATATTCTCCTTCATTAAGGTAATATCAAAACATTATTGTAGGCATGCAAAGAATACTTTCTTTGCATGTTGACGAAGACATATATCTTTAGGAAAAAAAAATCGTTGGCTCATGACAAAATGTCGCCTGACCATTGGCGTCAATTAGGTGCCGCTCGATTTACTCTAACATGACATCACTAGTTAAATAGTTTACGCGGCACTTATCTGTGTAATGTGTATTCCGAATCGCCGAACACATCCCGGAATAGTGTCGCCCGTTAACAAGTGTCATTCAGTCTATTAGAAGCAAAGGTTACATTTTATCTATTCACCGATAACAGTGAGAGTAGCTTAGAGAATGAACGCTTGAAAAATCAATTAGGAAACGTTTCATAGTAATTGTTTCATAGTGCTGTCATTTATTTATATCTATACAATAACAAAAACTTGATGTTCAAATTAAAAAAAAATCATAAAATCTTTATGACCTACTTGCTCGTGATTGCATTGCATTCCCTAGGCTCCAATGCGTATTATAAGGTGAATAAAAAAAATTGTACCTGATTTTATTTGATGATCGTAAATCTTTTTTTCGTGAATAACGAATAAACGGAATAATTCTGTTAAAATGCTATTTCAACCATAAAAACTCTTAATTAAAAAAACCTGTTTACACTGTTAATTTTTTACATGTGATATAGCGGTAAGTGAGCAAGCGGTTAACTTGACTATTGTCCATGTAAAACTTACATACACATAGTATGTGGTTGCAGATGCTTTGCCAACCTTCAAAAGAACTCATCACATCACCCGCCAGACGAAAAGTATAATACTTCCACTTAACGTCACTTATTCCTCACTTGAAGTACTACTTCCACTTAACGTCACTTATTCCTTACTCAAAAACTTTATACTTTTCTAGACGATACCCATATGAACCAGTCCAAAATGTTGTCCTATTCTAAATTCCTTATACGTCTCATTCCAGACGCCCTGCTCGCCGACCTGCAGAACTCGATAAACCCGGGCCGGGTGTCCAGCCCCGGCGGCAGGACGGGCTCCCCCGGGGCGAGGGCCACGTCCCCCGGGAGGACGGCCTCCCCCATCGGCAGGGGCGGCTCCCCGGGCCGGCTGAACTCCCCCGGAGGCAGCCTCGGCTCCCCAACGGCCACCGGCTACGGATCCATCAACGGCTCCAGGAGCATCTCCACCGAGTACAAACCGAGCTCGGTAAGTATTGCGGCTAAATGAAATTAAATTGCACGTTCGACAAACGACGTTCTGGACTAAAATATGTGGCCTGGTGTCAGTCTGTCTGATCCATGCCCTAAATCGATGAGGAGAGTGGTCACTAGTATTAGGACCTACCGAATTATTTTTTAACCTTTAGTACATTTTCTACATCATTTTAATCTTTAGTTTCAACGAGCTGCTGCCCGCGACCACGACTGCGTAGAATAGGCTGAAGGCGTAACATTCAGACAGACGTTGTTTATTACGATGTTTTATTCTGATATATATATAAGCTATATTATCGTAAAGTTTTATTATAATCCATTCAGTAGTATTTGCGTGAAAGAGTAACAAACATCCATCCATACACACAAACTTTCGCCTTTATAATGTTAGTAAGGATAAAATCGTTTAATTTAAAAAAATTTTTACTCATTTTTTTAATATGATGAAGGGCAGTAATGGCTCAGCAAACTGATAAAATATATTGCACTTATCTTTGACTTTGTGATCGCGGTGAAGATTGATGGTCATCATTGTGAAATTATTTTATTGTTACTGTACAACAATCTGGATGAAAACTCTATTGAAATGTCCCATTATATGTCCATAAAAATTAACACAAACATATGTAGGCGATTGCAGCCTTCCGACATTACGTGAACACTTGAGAGATGTAACTAAATAGACCCTTTGAATAATCCAAGTCTTCCCTAGCGGTAACCGCATCAAATTAATAATAAAAACGGGACCAAACGCAACTCATTGATGCGGTCGAAGAAACAGGACCGTACGGAAGTATACAGAACCTGACCAAAAACAGTACACAACATAGAGATGGCCAACCAATACATGGCGTACGCCAAGTACAGTGGGTCCACGTACCCAGTGTACATTCACGAGCGACAGATTCGCGATGCTTGCCAAGTTTCAACGTCTTTGCATGCGTGACTCTACGTGTAGAGTCTGAACAAGCCCTTAGACAAATAAATGTGTCTGCGTGTATACAAGGAAAATAAATAAAATGTGAGAAATTATGAAGAAGAATTGCATGGAAAATCAAAATAGCATCAATGAACAATTTTACTGTGGTAGGGCTACGCAACAGTTTCCACTGTTGCACGAAAGGGCAGGTCCGTCCGGGTAATTACTACGACCTCACAGAAGACCGGCGTAAAGTAGAAGTTCGGCGTTTCGTCTGGTGAGTGAGGTTGCTGGGGCCCACTTTATTTAAAGGTGGCAACTCATTTGCAATCCTAAGTGTGTTGCAAAAAGTAAAGTGTCTATGGGCGGCGGTTATTACTTAACATCGGGTGAACCACCAGCTCGTTTGCTACTTTTTCACATAAAAAAAAATCTTCTCATACAAACTACTCCTACCTGACAAACATTTTATGCGTGCGTTCCGAAAATTATTTTTTATGTGTTCAGATTCATAATAGAAATAATTTTTTTGGCAAAACAGCCGGGTCAGCTAGTTTATTATAAATACAAGCAAAGAAAATAAAAAAAAACATGTATATCGAACTATTGTCATTGCTTAGTTTAAATTTCTCTGTTATTAAGAAAACACATGTCATAACAAAACTGTAATTCATATTATGCTCTACAGGAAAACTACCTAACTTAATTCTCGTATAAATAAATTAACTGTTAAACGACCTATTTAAATAACATTCATTACTTTTGATTACTGTGGTTCTATTAAGATATTGAGTATTTATATAAATGTAAACTTGACATTACGAATATTATAAGTTCTAGATATTTATAAAAGCCTTTAACGTTTTGGGAACACCACTCTATAGTACCTACATTTAGCACGTTGCCCGATAGTTCTTTACCCTTGGTAAGTCAAGTATAATAAGAATGAATAGCTACAATTAACCATTCAAAAATTAACTATTGAATGTTTAATTGCAGCTATACATTCTGCGTGCTAGAATCCTCAAACTGACGTTGCTCCACCTTATCCGGTAGGTGGCGCCCCTAGAAAAACCATTGGCCATTGTCTCAAAGAAACAAATAAGTGTATTGTGTGAGTGCGACCATGTGACCTCAATCGATCAAATCATTCAGCGTTTAGATTACTACACCCGGTTTCTGAAACACTGGTCATGGTAAAAGTCAACTAGCCAGCTGTCAAATGGATTTTCAAATGTTATTCGAGTAGCCAAAAGGATTGTTAAACTCTCTGAATTGATTAGAATGGTGTTCTTAATGATCAGAATGATCAATTCAAAGAGTTTAACAATTAACATTTGAAAATCCATTTGACAGCTGGTTAGTTGACTTCTACGATGATCAGTGTTTCAGAATCCGGGCGAAAGTAACAGACGCAGTCATTAATACTTATACGTATATATGAAAATAAAACAGTTGCTAACGCCTACGTGTGCTCAGGCGTAGTATGGGTACAGAAGACGCTCTTTATTGCACCAGAAATGATCGATTCCAGAGAACTCTGTCATAATTTACGACGCCGTTTTATAACGAACTGCTTGTGAGTCCCATCTCGCTATAAACATTACTTGCAACATTGTACTATTCTGATGAAGGCCACACCATGAGACGTCAATTAAGCATTGAATTTGTGCCGTTGAGTTCAGTACAAAGCCTCGTTTAAAGACTCGACAGAAGAGCAATCGTTTTAATGCAAGCTTAGTGATATTTCAAGTGTTAGCGAGTGCGGTCTCAACAGTTATTTTTTCAGTGTTCCGTACCCAAAGGGCAAAACGGGACCCTATTACTAAGACTCCGCTGTTTGTCTGTCTGTCCGTCCGTCTGTCACCAGGCTGTATCTCATGAACCACGATAGTTAGGCAGTTGAAATTTTCACAGATGATGCATTTCTGTTTCCGCTATAACAACAAATACTTAAAAACAGAATAAAAAAATAATTTAAACTGGACTCCCGTACAACAGACATAATTTTTTTATAGATAATGGTGCGGAACCCTTAGTGCGCGATCCCGACTCGCACTTGGGCGGTTTTTTTTCTCGTTTGTATCCACCGCGCCGCGTCATCGCCTACGAACGCGTCGCGTCGGCATTGTGTCGTGTAACTTTCTTTGAGCGCGTGATTTAGTGTCGGCGATCCGGCCATATTATTTTTTTCCCGCTTTGAATCTTAATAAATAAAACCGTTTAAAAACTTTTAAGTTAAACGGTTTTATTTTATGTTTTTTTTTTTTTTGTTAATATTGTATTGTCATCTAAATTAAATACCGTACCGTGTACCAAATTTCAGATCAATCTGACAACGGCAAGGTGCTTAAATTTCAATTTCTAATTTTGACCCAAACAAACAAATTCCGTACGGGTCGAGCTAAATAAAACAGTTCAATAAGTGCGCACGCTAAGTGCTCGACGGACGGGGAACTGCATTCCTAAGGGCCCATTTACACGATGCCATTTTCTTGTACATACAAGAGCAATAATTGAATGCAATAAATTGCTCGCAATAATTTGTTAGACCATTTGTTGTTTAGACCATGCAACTCATTTATTGCTTCAATTTAATTGTATACAACAGGCAAGAAACTTGCACCGTGTAAATGGGTCTTAAGGCTTTACACGACACCTTTTCGTTGGTTGGTCTTTAAATTTTACGGTATTTGCTTGTCAGATTTAGACGTTATACACAATCTTAATCGGTTACAATTAAACTATCAAGAGTAGGTGACAAGATTTGATGAGTCCGTGGCGCAGTTGCCAAGGTATTGGCTTCGGCGTCGGGGGTCGTGGGTTCGATTCCCACACGGGATAACTATTTGTGTGACTCGCAGATAGTTTCGCATGTGGGTGTGTGTCCGCGTGAAATTTATGTTTGTAAAACGTCCTTACAACACAGGATAATGCTAAAGTAAGGGAATGTTAAAAAAAAAAGTTACAATTAGACTATCAAAAGGAGGTGAGCCTGGTTTACCCATCCGTACAGGTTTACCTAACGCATTTTTCGACTATACAGCCTGTAATGACCTGTTTATAACATTTTCTTATGTATTTCAAATCATTGTAAAATAATTGTTAATGTGACTTAATGCCTTAATGTGGCTTTCTACAAGTTTGGGGACCTACATTAACAACGATGAAATACGTAAGTATTGTTTTATTCAAAAATTTACATACCAACAAATAAGTTGAGATAAAAATTTTAAGTAGAAGATATAGTTCGCTGTAGAAAAAATATCTATCTAATATATAAAATTTTCGTGTCACGGTGTTTGTAATTGAACTTCCCCGAAACGGCTCGACCGATTTTCGTGAAATTTTCTGTGCATGTCGGCGAGGGTGGAGAATCGGATAACATCTATTTTTCATCGCCCTAAATGTTAAGGGTGGTCCACCCCTAAATTTGTTGTTTATAAAATTTTTTGTTTTTATTTTTTATGATACAGCATACAAAAGTACATACAACCCTAAATTTTCACCCCTCAACGCAGACGTAGTCGCGGGCAGCAGCTAGTTATCTATAATGTAACTAATTTGTGACATAAACACGCGTTACATAAATAAAGCATTATATCACTTTGCTAGTTATTGTAACCTTACTCTTCATTAAATGGACAGTATCAACATTCAACTTATAAATACGTGATTGTGTATGCATCAAAGACGAATTATGACTAATTCCCATTTGTTGATAACTGTGTGATACGTAAACGTGGGTCAAGAATAAATCCAAGGTTTGATTGTTGTTAGCATTTAAATGATTATATTCTTTGTTACTATATTGAAGATGTTTCGGTAATTTTAAACATGATGTTTTGTGGACCTGGTGTGTACGTATTTTTTAGATAACAATGAAGTTTAAATTTTTTACCTTAGGTTCTAACTACAATGTTTACTTTGATTCCTAACAAACTGAGATATTCAGCAATTCATTTGCTTGACAGTGATCACATGAAATACGCTGAAATGAATCTTTTTGTTATTTTACAATTTAACAATATTATTAGGGTATACTGGAACAACGTCACTTATTTCACTTTCAA